GAGTAAAAAAAAAAAACTATTTAGATACCGCTGGATTGCTTTAAATTATTTGTTATGCAGCTATTTATTTTAGCAATATTGACATATCCCTAAACCTTTTAGTAAATATAAGTGAGGTTGAGATAAGTAATTTTTTTAGGCTCTTAATGCAATATGGCTAGTTTTCTTAGTTCATCTGATGCAGAATTTTTCAAGCTATATGCGATGTTTTAAAATACAAAACATCGGTTTTTTTGTAGATACTGCTTTGTGGCCTCCGAGGGCAGAATTGCGGATTTAAAAATATGTTTATTTCTGTCAAATAAAATATGCAATTAAAAAACTGCTACAGAAATAACATTTATAGTTAATAATGCATGTGTACGTATAAAAAACTATGAATAACTTACTACAGAGTTAACATCTCAATTTATTTGATAATTTTGAAACGCCAATATGGTTTTTATGACCTCAAACTTATTTATTTGCCCTCTATCGAGAACAATTCTATAATTTTTCTATTTATTAAGGTAAATTTATCTTTAAAAAGTAAGTGTTTATTGCACGCGACGTGAGTGCAATAAACACTTTTTGCACGAGTTGAATACAATATTTTTTCTACGTTCATGCAAAAACCAAAAAATGTTTTATTTAGGCGACACTAAGTGCAGAAGAATAAAAATCGTAATTTAATAGCATATTATTTAATAACTCGATTAACATTGAAAAATTACTATAACTATGTTAAGAAAAATACATTTTTAATTAATTTATTTATTAAATGATTAAAAATAATATAAAATATGCAATTGATTCTAAAACGTAATACAATCTCACAGAAAATGAAAATGGATTAAATATTTGGCGTCGATTTGAATATTTCTCTGAAACATGTGGAGGGTGGGTTACCCCCACGGCACTTTTAGGCTTTTAGGCACCTCCTAGCTCGTGAGCCAACCTACAGATTTTATGTAGTTGACAACGTCGCCAAGAGGTGCTTCTCTTATATCGGCCGGTGTTAGCCGATACTCGCCGAACACAAATCTTCTAATAAATGAGAACATCGCGCAATCGTAAAGTATATGCTCGATGGTCTCATCTTCTTGTTCGTGCCCTCTGCAGAGTGCAGATTCTGACAGCCCCATGATATGGAGATGCTTTCGTACTTGGCAATGACCAGTCAGAATGTCTGTGACTAGTCTAGTCATAGTCAAGTATTTGTTTGCTGCAGTGTTGTCAGGATAACTTAAGAGCTCCCTGGCAACTCTGCAGTTTCTTGTTTCATCCCATCTTTCCTTCAATTTCACAAGGGAATGTTCTTTGATTAGGTCTGTCACTACCGATTTTATCGGGCCAATAGATGGGCCAGGTCCAAAAAGTATTTGGTAGGCTGCTTACTTGGCTAGTGAATCAGCAAGACGGTTACCTTTCGATGGATACTTTGGCCAAAGCTTCGTGACATTCTAGTACTAACCCTGAGTAAATTCGTGGTCTGTTCAGGGTGAGTAGTGCTTGTCTGCTATCTGTTCCTTCCAGTGATATTGTTTCTGGTTATTTCTTTTGCTGCTATGAGAATACCCGTTAGCTCTGTTTGAACTACACTCACCGGCACTTTTTGACATTAATTGATATGACGAGACATTTTGACAGTAAATAAATTTTTAACTGTCAGTGCTGTCATTCTTTCGCTTTCTATTAGTAATTTGGTTCCAATTTGGCTTGTTTAATGTTAGTCTATTTACAATTTTTTTTTCTTTATTAGACTTAATTAGACTTATTTAGTGTTGGTGTATATTTTGTAAAATCGGTTTAAGTTAAGTTCAAAACAGTTTTATTCAAAACAATGCCATTGGGAACAGAATCAGTAGCCAAAGCTGTAGTTCTATCTGATAAAGGTTATAGTCAACGTCGTATTGCTGGAATACTTGGTGCTGCTCGTGAAACAGTCAGAGATGCCATAAGGCGTTTTCGAGAGACAGGTTCTTACACCAGAAGGCCTGGTCAGGGCCGCCATCGCTGCACTTCAATGAAGGACGATCGTTTTGTTGTGAGCACGATTTTAAGAGATCGGATCTGTACCGCTGTTGAAGCCCGTACTCGTCTTGCTGAGGTTAGAAATGTGGAGGTCAGCGAAAGAACCATAAGAAGGAGGTTGGCAGAAAGGAATGTTATAGCGAGACGCCCTTACCAAGTCCCTCAGCTTCGCCCTCATCACAAAACAGCTAAACTCCGTTTTGCGCGTGAATACAGTATGGAATATGGATCAGTGGAAGAATGTTTTATTCTCTGACGAGATCAGAATTGCTTTAAAATGTCCAGATGGTCGCCAGCGTGTATACAGACGCCCGGCAGAACGGTTTGCTCCTTGTGCTCTTATGGAGACTGTGGGTTATCATGGAGGCTCAATAATGATATGGAGCGGAATTTCTTACGAGGCTCGTACGGATCTGGTAATTTTTGCTAGAGGCAGTGTAGATGCTCACAAGTATGTTCAAGAAGTTCTTCAAGAACATTTCATTTCTTTTGCGCCATATATTGGCGACGACTTTGTTCTTCAGCAAGACAACGCACGATGTCATGTTGCTCGAGTGGTTACGCAATATCTTAACAAAGTTGGCATCAGAACTTTGCCATGGCCAGCACAGAGTCCAGACATCAATCCAATTGAACACTTTTGGGACAACCTAAAAAACGGATTCGAGTACGAAAACCAGCTCCAACCACTATTCGAGAGCTGAAAACTGCTGCGGTGGAAGAATGGGAAAACATCCCACAAGCTGAGATTCAAACCATCATGGATACCATTCCACGCAGGCTTAGTGATGTGATCAGGGCAAGAGGGGGTAACACTCGTTACTAAAGTGAATTTTTTGTTAATAACAATAGTTTTTTGTCGATACATTTCATGTATTATTAATAAATTAATATGATTTTCTATTTGTCAATAATATTAATAAAGTTATGCATATGCAACTAACAATACAAGACAGTAATATTGGTTGCCTACATGTCAGTCTTTACCAAAACACAATGTTATATGTAATCTAGTTAAAATTAGAAAGAATATTGTGTGTAACACGTTATGAAATGCCGTTTTATGTAACTCATTCATATTGTAGGACCTCACACAGCTCGTCTCGCAAATATTCACTCGTTGCATAAAATAAGGCATTTCGTAACTGGTTGCATAAATAGCTATTATAAAAGTTCAAAAACAATAAAATTTAGGTAAACAAAAACGAACAGAACGCACTCAAAAAAAATGGAACCAAAATTAGGTCATTACTAATTTAGCATGTATGCAAATTGAACGCGAGAGGTTTCCGCGAACGCCTGTAGTAAGAAAAATAGGTCAACAGATTCATAAAACAAAAAAGTGCCTGTTTAAAACTACACTATTTTTCGTACAATTTTGTGCATCAGAATTGCAGCTCTCGGATATTGGCGTTGTTGATATTCCTCAATTATTGGATTCTGGCTATCGAAAAGCATTAAAGGACTTTAACAACTAGGTAAAAAATTATTACTTTTTGTTCAGCCTTATTGACTGTAAAATTTTGTGGCGTATTCGAGCTATCATTGCGAAGACATAGTTTAAATCCCAGGAATATACAGGGGGCTTATTCATTTTATATTAGAAATCGATATGACTAAACATTTGCAAGGAAATCATTTATGATAGAAGAGATATTCATCATGCTAGAAATCCCGTAGCAATTTTACAACTATTTATTGATAGGAACCTAACTGAATGCTTTAATAAAACTGTTATGTCGTTAAAATTAATTTGTATGATTCCGATGACCAATGTCGAAAGTGAACGTTGTTTTCCTACATTGTAAAGGAAATACAATGCAGTAGAATAGACTAAATTTACTTGTTAAGCATTGAAAAAGAGATGATTTCTTCAATAGTGCACTTGTGTTATCGTAGTTTTCGCAAAACAACAAAATTCGAAGATTGCACTAAATATATTAGATGAGCATATTTTTGCATAATTTGAATTTGACCTTTCTTTCTCGCAATGTATTAATGGAGGTATTATTATTGTATGGGAAATTGTGTAAAGTATTTTTTTTTCTAAAGGGCACCAAATTAAAAATTGAACACTCATTTTAAATTTCTACAAGCCGCCACTGCATTAAATAGTATTTAATTTAAATAACAAATATTAAAACTAGTACTATAGTCTGAATAGAGGAGTGCAGTAAAAGTGGAGATATAACGTCGTATTTCATAGTCGTACTTTGCAAAATAAGTTTCTATAATATAAATAAGGTCACGGCATATAAAATGGTATATATTCTGAAACCAATTTTCAAACATAGGGCCATCCATTTCTTCATGGTAGTCTTTTGTTTTCTTTGACTCGAACATTAATAAACCATCTGGCAAATATCCATCGGTGCTTCCAATGTGGGCGATTTTCTTTTCCTGTTGGGTTTTTTTAATTGATGAAGGTATCTTGCCAAATTTTTGTTACTGTATGTCCAGCATTAACCCATGTTTTATATAAATAAAATATAAATAAAGTGTAAATGTTATGACTATCGATAGATATTTTTAAGTTTTTTACAAACATTCGAATAATTATTCAGTATACAGACTTTTTTTTAGAAAGTTGTCTGTACCGGAATGAGCAGTAGTTACTTGGACATCAACTAGGAAGAAATCATTTATATACTGTTTGAAAAAGTTGGACTTACTTCAGTATAACACTTTTTGTTAAATTGTACCGGGCTGCCAAATACTTTAAAGGAAATTTTCAGGGATGCTTTTATGTTATCTAATCTTTTTTTTAAGCTATGCGACTGATAGTTTCTGTTATATTGCCGGCGTCATCTCTTATTTGGCCACCTAGTAATTTACATCGCCTCTTTTTAATGGAGGAATACACATTTTGCTTATAAGCTTAGTTCCTTTGTTGCATCCTTCTCCATAAAAAACTCTACACTGTTTAATAAAAAGCAAAAACTCTTACTTTATCCAGATTTTCTTTGACAAATTCAATTACGTTTCAGAAACGTAACAAGGAAGTCGAACAAGAAGTCATCAACTGGATTTTCGGCTGTCTGGAAGAACCGGTACCAAGTGGAGAATTCGAAGACATCCTGAAGAATGGCGTAGTTTTGTGCAAGCTCATGAACAAACTGACACCCGGATCCATCAAGAAGATCCAAGAAAAAGGTACCAACTTCCAATTGATGGAAAACATCCAAAGGTTCCAAGCGGCTGCTAAGAAATACGGTTTGCCAGAAGAAGAAATTTTCCAGACTGCTGATCTTTTTGAAAAGAGGAATATTGCTCAAGTAAGTATATCTAGATCTCTAATTTTATGATGCGTTACTCCTTATTACACATTACTTTTTACTCGGTGTCATGCACAGTCATACCTCTCCACTCCTTTCTATCAATTTTGTTCCTATGCACTTCCTATAAACATTTTTTGTATCTCATAATATATTTTTGTACATTTTGTTAATATTTTCATTTTTTGACATTCTTTTATTAACATGGGAAATATCAGACACAATTTAAAATAATTTAACTTTGCACAATTTTCAAAAAAAAAAAATATTTTGAATCATTCTAATCAGTTTAATGTTTAACTTACATTATTTGGCTACTTGGGGAGAAACCTTTGTAATCCAGTAATAATTCAATTTAGAGTACCTACTAAATATACTTATTTTTCTTGTAAAATGGAGGATTAACCATTCAGAACCACTTAGAGACAGCGATGACATCTGATTTTAGTTCTTGTGAGTTTAATAAGCTCTTTTTTGATCATTTCCATATTTTTTTGACTTTTAACAGTGTTATTGTTACGTCACCGATGGTACGTAATATTTTAGTTTGGCAATCCTATCAATATTTTTGTAATTGATTTTCTGTATCCATATCGACCATGTTTGATTAACGTTTGTATTTGAAATAAAAAAAATAATTTTTAAACTGTCACGAATCATTTTGAACAAAAACCACGAATTCTTTATACAGTCCATTGCAAGATCGCACAGTTATCTTTGGCACATTTCTCCAGCTAGTATTATCAAAGTTTTTGTTGTTTCTTGAAATTTCTCATTAGAAATGGATATTAACAGCTCTTAGTCTTCTTGTCGCTATGATTGTTATTTTAACATGTTTATATTTATGATTAAATGATAATCCCAATATCCATTAAGATTAGAATTTCTTCTTATCTCGACCCCGTTGGGAAACATTGTTTTGGTAGACTAAAGTAATAGTGTTGGGGCCAAATGTGAACATTCAGTTACTCTTGCATTGATCTTGCAGAACGTGTAGTTTATCCATTCACAGATTTTTCGCAAAGTTAATCGGTTTCTATAATTTTAAAAATAACATAATGAAATAATTCCACTTGTTCATATAAAAATTTAATTCTAGGTAGCAATTTCCTTGTTTTCATTGGGACGTATCACGCAAAAACATCCAGAATGGAACGGACCAACCCTAGGACCAAAAATGGCTGACGAAAACAAAAGGCAGTTTACCGATGAACAACTCAGAGCCCACGAAGGTCAACTTAACCTCCAAATGGGTTTCAACAAGGGCGCTTCTCAATCAGGCCACGGTGGTTTCGGAAATACACGCCATATGTAATTGATTCCCGAAGAGTGAGAGATTTAATTTAATTTATTTTGTTTATTTTTTTTTTTAAGAATGACTCTTATAGATTTAGTAACAGCTGAATGTTATTTTTAAAATTTTTCAATATACATTTCTATAGTTTTAGAAGTCTAATTTTTTAAACCTGCTTTTCTTTTGTCTAAACTAAGTAATATAAATTTGTTGATTTAAACAATAAACAAGTAGGTATGCAGGAAGGTTACCTCCACCACCCAATAGCTTATAATTTGTAAACTTTTCAATGTTTATCACCAGCAGAAAATAAAAACGTTGAAGATGAATGGACTAGATTAGTAATTAGGTATATCAAGATTTTGAAAATGAGCCTGCATGCATATAACTTCACCATATATTTGTAAGTAACAATAAAAATTATTCTCCCATATGTACTATTAATACTATCATAAAACTGCAATGCAGGCTCTTAAAATGTGCAATATTATTGAATACTTATAGTAAAATATACATTGAGGGCCAAAAGTAGTGAGGACATTTTTATTTTTTAAATAATTTTATTCTTTAAAATTATTTTTAAAACAAATTTGCAGTAATCATTCATTCATATTATAGGTTTCTATAAAATAAATTAGCACATCAAACTATCGGCTGGGAATCTCGACAGTCAATGTGGCGATGGTCCAGTGGTTAGGGCATTTATGTACAGAACAAAGAAGTCTGGGTTCGAATCCTAGCGCTTGACAGGCTTTTTTCAAATCTCCAAGAATCTGTTTTCACTTTTGGGGTTCGAGGATGGTCTTAATAATTCATAGGGCGATTTTTGAAATTTGTTTCCAAATTTTCAAATTATTCTACAACTTATTTCAGATATTTCTGACTTGCGGATTTCGATTTGCGATCTACGATATATTAAATTCACAATTTTCAAATTCAAAGCTGTAGGTTGAAGTAGAATAACATACAGGGCAGGCTAAGATAAGAAGTTACTTTAAGTGACTCAAATAATTAGGACTTGCCTCTGAAAAAACACCTTCTACCTTTTTTTAAAATGTCATTCAATTTAGCATTTATAACCTATATAATATATTCTCTTACCAAATGTTTCTACGAAGTTTCTAACTAAATAGTTGGCCACAAAACCAATTTTTTTCTAATTTTGACATGTAAAGTGACCTTTTTTGTATTCAAAATGATCTACTTCATGCAACCAGTTGCATAAAAATGAAAATTATGAAACGAAAAATTTATTATGTCACCAGTTGCGAATAAAAACAAATAAAAATAAACCTTTTTTCGTAAATAATTATGTACATTATTATTGAAAGTTTTTATCAAAGGAGAAAAGGTTGGCTATATACAAATAGAATTTAGTAAGTGAACTTACGACCTAGTAAAAATGTTGTTTTGGTCCTTATTTATCATTCTAATTCTGCACAAAATAAACAAAACACGACAAAATAACAAAATTTTTTAACAAGCAATATAAACACACTACAAGTCGTTGAGAATAAATTAATCAGATATTCTATTTGTCAATGAAATGAATAAAGGTATGCATGTCAAGAAAGTAAGAAAGTAATACTGGCTGCATAGATATCAGTAAGTTTTTATCTTAGATTAAAGAGACCGAAGATGTAACATTGCACACTGCGCATGCTGTCTATTTTAAGCCAAAGTAACCCACCAATTGAAAATCATTGTTGCACGACGCCACCCAAATTGCTCCGATTTCCATTCAGCGATCACACCTCCACCTGAGTTTAATCACCATTGACAGCTGTTTTTTGATTTATTTGTTGGTATTTTAGCAATTTAAAGTGTTCTAGTTATTCAATTTCAAGTTCAAAATGTCACGATGTATCTTGAAAAATTGTATGTACTTATAATACAAGTACTACTGTTATGAATATATTCGTTTTCAGCGGTAAATATTTATTAACGTTTTGACATAAAGCGCCATGATTCTCTGGGCTGAATACTTCAGATCCGCATTAAGGGGTTTCAATAAATATTAAGCATCAGATTTCATATTACTTACATAAATTTACAAAAGGGTAAAATTTTGAACATTTAATTTAAATAAATAGTAAATAGGCATTATTGCTAACGAAATTTTGTATTTAAATAGTAGTTTTATAAGAATGTTTTCTAAAGGTAGTTTTTAGCCCTTTTTGGTAGATAAATAAGAGGTAAAGAATCATAGTTGCTAGCTAAATTTTATTTTTATAAGGTATTTTTATAAGAATATTAGATGAAATATAGGATGACCTACTTAAAATTTCAAGGTTCATCTTATTTGCGGTCAAATCGAAAGTGACATTGAATTTTCAGTCTTAAAACAAAGTAATCTAGTATAAACAAAAAAAAAATACTAAAGTTACAGGAGTTAGGTCCGATTCCACCGTTGTGTTAAACGGAGATTAAAATGACAGTGTTAATGTAAAAATGTCATTTTAAACTTCGTTTAACACAACGGTGGAATCAACCCTTAGTCACGTTAATAAAATGTTACATTACAAACCCCTAAACAACTCGAACATAATTTTCGTTTACTAAAAAAAATCCAATATTTAGCAATATTTATTTATTATACAAGCGAATGCGATTTCAAAGATAACTGGATCAAAAAATCCGAATCTCTAAATTTTGGAACTAAATGCTCAGATAAAAGCAAGCGACCGATAGGGGTTACAAAAATAATCGATTGATCGATAATTCTGATATTTTTTAATGAAAATCGATTTATCCGCTGTTTTTAATAAATTATTTTCGTTTTTTTTAAGATAATGTATTAATCGATTTTAAAGGAAATACAGAAAAAGTACATTTATTCAAAATTATCGATTTATCGTTTAATCGGTTTTTTAATTATTTGATTATTTTCGATTTTTCAAAGATATTATATGAAAATAATCGATTGAATATAATGGTTATTTTACATAATCGATATTTTGGTTATTTTTTTAAAATTATCGATTTATTGGATAATCAGCTTTTTAATAATAAATTATTTTCGATAATCGAATAATCAATTTCAAAGGAAATATGAGAATCGGCTTCTTAATTAATTGGTTATTTTCAATTAGGCGATTATTTTGGAATTATTGATTATTTTTGGTATTTCAAAGATAACCGAATTATCGATTTTAAAGGAAATACAATAAAAATAGATTATTGATAATACTCAATTGATCGAAAATAATCGATTATTTAAAATAATCAATCATTCTGTTTTTTTTTGAAAATCGATTTGTCAGTTAATCGACTTTTTAATTAATCGAATATTTTTGAAATACAATAAAATAGATTATTGGTAATAATCGATTTATCATAGAATCGGCTTCTTAATTAATTAATTATTTTCGATTAAGCGATTATTTTGGAATTATCGATTATTTTCAGTATTTCAAAGATAATCGAATTAACGATTTTAAAGGAAATACAATAAAAATAGATTATTGATAATAATCGATTGATCGAAAATAATCAATTATTTAAAATAATCGATCATTCTGTTTTTTTTTTAAATCGATTTATCAGTTAATCGACTTTTTAATTAATTGATTATTTTTGATTAATCGATTATTTTCGATTTTTCAAAGATTATCGAATAATCTGTTTCCATGGACGAAAAAAAAAATGGTTTATTTGAAAATAATCGATTATTTAAAATAAACGATAATTCTATTTATATTATATTTTGTAAACACTGATTTATCGGTTAATTGGCTTTTTAATTAATCGATTATTTTTGATTTTTCAAAGATAATCAAGTAGTCGATTTTAAAGGAAATGACAAAAAATATATTGTTTGAAAATAATCTATTGATCGAAAATAATCGATTATTTTCAATTATCGATAATTTATTTCGATAATCACTCATCCCTAGCGACCAAATGACTTTTAATAGATTTAAATTTTAAAATGTTATCTGGTTTCAGACATATGCATTTCTAGAGTTTTATGTGACTCATCCTTTATAATAAATAATATTCTTAAAGAAAGAAGCCTTAATATACTTTTTCTGAGGTTACAATACAGAACAGCATTTTCTCATTTTGACTAATTTTTAATAATATGTAATAGCCGTAGAAAAAATATAATGTTCAACTCATAAGGGTAGATTTGCAGTATTAGCCTGCGCACATGCTATTTTTATAATACTCGTAAAAATGAATAACATTTTTTGCTCTATTAACAATATATTCTATTTCAACATTTTACTGTAATCTCTTGCAGAAAAGTCCGTAGTAAATAAACACTAACGAAATATTCTATAAAAGGTCTTCTCTTTACATAAAATGTCGTGGCATCTGTTTGATATTAAAAAATCACGATAATTTGATTTCATAATACAAAATTCGATTAAACACCTTTTAAATAAACCTAATAGTTCATTAAGTTGCTAATAAACAAAGTCCGGTCCCTGTCACAGAGTTCGGGTCGCCGCGTGTCGCCGCCCAGTTCCCCCACTCCGTTAACCCTTTTTTAGAAATTGGCAACATTTGCGCAGGTTTAAAACCGGTGTATGTTATATCTCTGGTCTCTTTTATCTAAGGTTTTTATCAAACACGATTTTATAAATAATCTAGTCAAAACTTGCTCTGCTGGTCCGCAAAAATTCACTCGCTATTGATTGCTATGGATTTAAACTTGACATTTCTTATTATTATAAAAGTAAAAAAAAAATTGCCGCGGTAGGAAAAACTATAATACAAAAAGTAGTTCGTGAATATCCCAACAGAAATTGGAAAATAGCGAATGATTCAAGGCTGAAAAATGTTGGAAAATAAGGGGAATTTTAAAACAAAGGAATGAAATAGTAAAAAAATATCAAAATACCTGTTAACTTACCAGGAAGGTATCAGGAAGTAGTAAAATCCCCAGACAGATTGAAAAAGATTATGATAATGAAAGATCTTCGCTAAGACGGATTCAAAAAATCTTTAAAAATATTTAAAAGAGGTTTGTACAAAACTATCGGAAGAGGCAGGCATATCAAGATTAGAGAGGTTAAAAGCCGATGCACTCGTTATTAATAGGAAGACAAATCGAGCACATTCTATGTGTGCATCTTCGGATTTACTCGACTGGAGATTTACACCATTGGTTAGACTTTAATCTCAATTTTTTTGTTCCAATAAAA